TGTGACAATACCCGCGTCCGTTCAAGTCTGATTGGAACCATGAGTGCACCAGATTCACTCCCGAAGATATCGGAATGATAAACGTCACCATCTTATTCACGCATTTCTGATATTCGGTTTGGCCGAAGCTTCGGCTGGTTTTTGGCCGAAAACGAAAATATGGCCGAATGTCCATTTTTTGGCCGAAAATGGCCGAAAACGAAAACGAAAACGAATATTCGGTCGGTCACTAATCATATAAGGGACGCCTATGACATAGCCTGACCGCTTAAATGAGAAAGAAAGCTCAGAGGAAATGTAATCTGGCTACATTTAACTCACTTCGTTGACGTAATTTTGGCTTACAAGTCACTGCGACTCTGTTCTTCTCAATTGCCTCTGGTAAATTAGAGAGGACTATGATCCTGCATGATGATGATGATGCATACGAGCTACAGTCGTCATGATGTTCCCGTGGTAGATTCTGCCTAAGTCCTCCAAAAAATCTACCAATTTTTCATATCACCTTTAAGTTTATTAAATCCTCTTCAACGCTTTATGTGAACTGTTAAGATTTAGCTTAGCTGCAGCACTGAAAGATAAATGTGTTGCAAAAATAAATAAAAATAATGTTTTATCATTTCTTTTCTCGTAGATTAGTTAACTGAATGGTCTACGATTTGTCAAGTTTAATCAAATGCCCTTAGCAAATAATGATGTCAGAAACAAAACGATAGTGTTTAACGATAGCGCGAGTAAATGACGCCCGGCGAGCGTAAAGACGATAGGCGTATCGCGAAGAATAACACGGCCATTGTTATGGGCCGGTCGAGCGCCGGTGACGTGTCGCATCTAAAGTGGTTTTACAGGGAAATTCATGTAATCCCTCTGAGGGGGTACCATCGGTTCTCATTTCTTTCATACTTGATGGCCGCTGTCTTCACTTTTGGACGTCGCTTCTTGTATCATATACATAGGCAGCCTAGACCATTGGTTCCCAAAGTAGGGGGCGCGCCCCTTCAGGGGAGGCGCAAAAACCTTTAAAAGGGGGCGCGGGCCATCTGTGTACTTAAGTATACAAAACCTGCGACCGCTGAGAGAATGCATTCCAGACTGCTCGAAACGACCTATAAATAATCTTGACTGTACCCCTCCTCCAGGGCGCGAAATTTATTGGATGGTCGAAAGGGGGCGCGTCTCAAATAAGTTTGGGAACCAATGGCCTAGACAATTGACATACTTTTATGAGATTTCACTTAATTTTTGGACTGATTGATTCATTAGAATCACATCTAAATCCTGTTTCTACATCATCATCATCTTCATGAGGTCATTTAGCCTCCAATGCAGGATGAAGACCCTCTCCAATTTACCAAATGCAAATAGAGAATTTGACTTACGCTCTCCACCTTGAGGCCTTTTCTATAACTAGTTATTTCTCTGTATAATAATATACTTGACGTTTGTGAAACTAAAATACCTGACGTCAATATTTACTTGTATCATTTTTCCGCATTTAACTGACACATGGAAGTATGATCTACTGAATTAAACGAATTAAATAAAATTAATAAATAATTTGTGGGGAGCCTTGGTAAAGAATAATGCATGTGCCAGTGGATATGCGCAAAGCTGCATTTCCCAACGTATAAAAAGATAAAAACACATGTCCCCACCATAAAATCTTTTATAGAGATATACTTACGTGGTGTATTTTTATACTTTGAAATCGAGAACCAACAGTACCGCCGCAGCCCGCTTATGCGTCTTCATAAAGATAGCTGCGCGCGCGCCGGCCCATTACAACGCAGTACAATACCCAATTAATAACTCGCGTATCGCCGCACTAGCTCACCGACCGGCAGTGTTTTATCCATAGAGGTTAATTGAGAATTGATGGGGTATTCAATGTGAAGGACCGACATGTAGTTCAATTTTGCGTACGTTAATGTAACAGTTTTTTCTTATCTGTGAACGCGCTGCAGAATATAAATATAGAGCGAGGATAAGCTTGGCAGATGTGGGGAGTTTCAGAACCTTTTTCATACATCATACTGGTTTTCGCTTGCAGCTGCTGCGTACATAAAATTTATGTCTAACATAAGTATTTTTTATCGCTAAGCACAGTTTTATTAGACAGTTTGTATAATACAAACACGGTCATCAAATCTAAAATAACTAACACACACTTTTATTTTTTAGCAAATGAATTTATAGACGATTTTTCTTACGTCTAACCAAGAATGGTTGAGATGGGTTTCACCTAGTCATTTTTTAAATTATGGTTTTGTGAAGTAGCAAAAATAAGTTCAGCTGAGAGCAAAGCAGCTAAAACCAAATCCAAATGTGTACATCAAATACCTACCTACATTATTTTTCTTTCTTTTTTCAATCCTTTTTGGTTTGGTTGTCATAAACCTAATAATAATATTTTTAACCTGTCAGTTTCAAAGAGAATACCGTGTATCCTTTTTGATCTAATATATTACGTTCCTAGTAACCTAACACCTAGCGGCGTATTGACAAAGTACACGGTTGTATTTGCGCAAACGCATAGGGAGCGTGTCAGCATCGGACGTCAAACATGGCCAGTTTGCTCACAGGGCCTGCGACATCGAACTACTTATTCACTTATAGGAATAAGTTATAATATCCTCAATAATATGTTGACAGATGCAAGTGCCAGTCTGTTCAGGTGGAGATTCTTGGATGGCTCAAACTTGGAGTGCAAGTACGGTTTTGTTCCCCAGTCGATGAAGCACATGATGTGCCCCGCGTGCCCAAACAACTGCACGCAGGAAGATCAATGAATGCTACTGACAATGCCACTCTTGTAGCGGAGTTTTGGGATGACACTGTATAGGTTTGTTGTCAACACGACAAGAAGGAGATGCAAGTGCCCTGTAAAACATTTCTACGTTCTTAAGAAAAACCTATGCAATTTGCATTTATGCTTCTCCGACATGTATTTCTTTTTAATTATACTTTGAATTAAAGGGGATATTTTTTTAATATAATTTTATTTGAAAACTCTTTCAGCTGCCGCCGCTTCATATTTGCACACGTCCATTTTCACATGACGATATTCTGGAATAGATGAGATGAATTATTTTATTTTTGGGTAATTTCGGTAGACAGGGCACATTCTAAAAATGCATTCTGAAAGAACAAGCATCGTGATAAAGCGACTACCAAATCAAGAAAATCATTCAAGAGGTAGACCCTGAAGAAAATCATGAGATAAACTGTCAAGACTTGCAGTTCATAATTTCAGCCATAGGACGTCCACTGCTAAACAAAGACCTCCCCCAATCATTTCCATAAAGACCGGTTGGTAGCGGCCTGCATCCATCGCCTTCCTGCTACCTTTATGAGGTCATCGGTCCACCTTGCAGAAATCAATTTTCAATAACCATCCCTGGTGGAAGTTGTACAAGGTAACCCAGTAGGACAGCTAACTTTGACATAAACACAACTCACGTTTCTTGTCATCGCAATTGTATTCATAGAGGTCGCAGTTGTCGTTGAACATCCTGGTGATACCGAGCGAGTCCTGCCCGCAGATCGGGACGAAATCGTGCTGGCACTGCTCCGCCATTTTGCAGAAGTTTATAACCTGGAACAGATAGAAATAATCAATCATTAATGAAAGATTTCCAGTCCATTTTAATCGATTCAGCTTCAGAAAGTTTCAGATTGATGGGAGATTTTTAGTTCATCATTATAATCAAATCTGCTTTCTATTGTTTTCTCTTAAACTTTTAACTCTACGAGTATGAAGAATAAAATAATATGTATTTTACAAAATTGAGATTTAGTGAAACGTTCTAGCTACAAGACCGCCAGAATTACTTAGTACTGACTAACTGACTCTTATTCTGAGTTGCACCACCTAACTTTAACGATGACTATAACGATAACCAGTGCTTTTTGTATGGAGTTTGTAAGGTTTTTGACGTTTGTTAATGTTAAAATAAGATGGTGCAACCCAGTTTTTCTGTAACTGTACAATGTGGTATTTAAAAAGAATATAAAACTATTTTACCGGTTCTAAAGGAAAGAAGTAGTCCTCAGCTTCTATTTCAACATGAGCCCACACTTCTGCGGCGAACCCCAGAAATATTATACCTGAAACAAAACATTAACGTTCAACATTAAGAGAGAAATACATTTAATGGAGTGAAAGTGTAGATAAGAAAATTAATGCCTGCCTTGACTCTACCAACGACTGTTGAGGCCAAAGTATACGTAATAGCAATACATGATATTCTATTCTCTAAACAGTTATAAAGGGTGTCCCAAAATTAACGAAACTTTTAAATTTGCTACTATTTATGCCATAAAGTGTTGACAACCCTAAAAATAAAACAAATCGCACGGTATAATATAATCGATTTCTTTTTATGGGGTATGTATTTAAAAATGAATTAAAAGAAATTCAGCCACATTTATGCAGAATGGTCATGAGAAATTTCGACGAACGAGTGCATTGCTGCGTGCGTGTCATTTGTCCGATGTGTTATTCCATAAATAACCCTATTCTATGTACTTTATGATTCAATAAAAATAATACAATCAAAAGGCTAAATACTATGTTTTCTAGTTAATACAAAAGTTTCGTTAAGTTTGGAACACCTTTTAAAACTACAATCTTACTTGTAAATACTCTCCTAAATATCATATTAACTTGGACAAGCAACCGAACCAAGCCACTAATGTAATCTAACTATTGTCCCAGTGTTTGCATAGTTCTAACTCCCTGGAAGCAAAACTATGGCGGTGGAACAGGAAATTATTGTAAAACAAGCGAGTTATGCTGAAAACTGACATCTATTCATAAGCAGGGACTGTCAACATTTCTGCACATTTTGTCCTTATTTGCCTTCCCAAGTGGGACAATTTAAAACATAAATTAGAGCCGTGAGCATTATATGTATTAAGCTCATTAAAAGCATGCTTATTGACTGTGGTGGAAATTTTCAAACTTCTTTCGTCCACTTGTAATTGACAGGTGGCAATTAATGACAGGTAACGATTACAGTATAAGTACAGTACACATCAGACTATGCTACTTAGGATCCAGCTTTCGCTAGATGCCTATAATGATTGATTTTTATCTAAATCACAATAATGGCGATGCAAAAGATGAGCACTCATCAGGGGTCGCCAAATATTTGGTTTGTATTAGTTGTACACGCGACGCGAATACAATGGTTTAAATGCTTTAGAAAATATGTACGAATAAACTATATTATGTTCTCCAAAAGTTTACAACCTCTGCAAACCAAAGTATTTGTTGGTCACACATCCTCCGGAATCTAGAGCACTAGCCACCATAATGTGCACTCGAGTTTGGAACTACAGTAGGTATAGTTAATTCTAGAGCAAATAGATGGTAGTGTTGGGTTTTTGATAGTTAAGCGTTTGATTTTCTTCTTACAGTCAAATTATGGATATTGCTGCTCCCAACAATTCTTTGCCACATACCAAATTATATCACCACCCCTCCGGTAAGTGCTGTCATTGCATTTATAATGCCAAAATATATCACAAATTAATTATTTTTTTACTAGATAATAGAGGGTCCATATTCGGTTGCATAAAAAATATTGTCATAATTTAAGAGTGCATAAAGTTTTTTGGCATACTCATCATTTCGCATAACGTTCATACAGAATAAATCATAATGCATATTTTTTTTGCCATAACCACTTTTATTATAATAATATTTTAGTATATATTTTTTCTGTATTCTTGTTTTTTTAATAACGATTTCTAGGCATAACATTTATTGGCATCTTAACCAATGCCATAAATATTACCATTCATAATATACATAATTAACTTTTTTAAAAAATAAAACCGACTTCAAATGCGTGAACACAAAAAAAAACTAAAAATTAAAAATATTGCGTATAAAAAAGTTCATCCCCAATTTTCCACCCTTGGGGGTGAAATATTTTCTTCAAATTCGCATGAAACCACCCTTTTGATAATACCTATTCAACAAAAAAATAATCGTTCAAATTGATTTATAATCGGCGGAGATATTGCGTATAAAAAAGTTCATCCCCAATTTTCCACCCTTAGGGGTTGTTTTTTCTATTATTAAATTTAAATGGGACCACCCTTGAGATATTACCTATACGCCGAAAAAAGATTTGTTCAAATCGGTTCATAATTGGCGGAGTTATCGCGTAACAAACATAGAAAAAAAAAACATACGGGTCGAATTGAGAACCTCCTCCTTTTTTGAAGTCGGTTGAAAATACCATAATTTTAACAAATATGAAATATAAAAATGTTATACATATAAAATATAAGTTAACAAATATAAATAGACAAGCAAGCATGCAAACAAGCATGCAAGCAAGCAGCAAGCATGCAATCAAACAGCAAGCATGCTAGCAAGCTGCAAGGAAGCATGCAAGCAAGCAGCAAGGAAGCACGCATGCAAGCAAGCAAGCAAGCAAGCATGCAAGCAAGCATTAGGATTGCCTTATCTCCGGCGCTGCGGGAAGTGCGGTCCTTCCGCTACAGCGAGCGAGGACTGCACTCCCTCCGCGCCTCCGGCTTTTAAATTACACTCTAGTATAGGGCAGACTAGTACCACGTGGAAGAGACCACGGCCAGTCGGGATCAACATAATTTCAGACCAGGCAAGCTTAATGTTGTAAAAGAAATGTGGACTGTATAATATGTGCGTTATAATAGATAAGAGGGATTCGAAATCAAACAGAATGTATTTTCACGAGCTTAAGTTTTGTAAGAGACAGGACAAAAATTAAGAACAAAAATGACAATGATACAGAGAATTTAGTTTTTGCAAATCTATAGGCCGAAAGAGTATAAAGGTGGAAGGAGGATCGTTCGCAACATCACAAATACATAATAATTTACTCTTCAATGTTGGTTGCTCTTATAGACAATATTTATGACTTTAAATGTTATAAATAATTAAATTATGTTTATAGTATTTTATTAAAAACAAACTTTATGTATATAAAAATTATGTTCTTTACATTTATGATTATTTAAATTATGGTATTGAAAATTAGAGAAAGTTATTATTATGCCTAAGAAACCATTATGCATTTAGAATACTATGCATATCAAAGTTTATTCGAAAAAACTTTATGCAAATACTGTTATGCCAAACTAAATTATGATGAAAAATGTTATGCGTCTGAGAGGGCACCCGATAATAGACTGCCATAAGACTCAAAATCAGTTCCTCTATGGTTGAGGATTCCGGGTGAAGCTCGCTTCCACCTTCGGCTTGATCATCACTTACCATCAGGTGAGATACAAGCCATGAGCTTCCTCGTTGTGGATAAGAAAATAAATTAAAAAAAAACAGTTCGAAACGTAAAAATTGCAGTTTATTTAAATGCACTACAATACAGGTCTTTTGACTGCAATCACACCTGATGCATTCTAGGATGGTACATACCTGCTGCCCTGCACCGCCTTGAAGAGGCCCGGAGTAGTGTTCAGGAAAGTCAGTAGCAGGCAGCGAATTCCTATCTAATTTTTCGCATTATAAAAGAGCGAAAAGCTTAAATAGTGAAAGTTGAAATAGTTTCCAAATCTATATGTTATTATTCCCCAGTGGCTGGCTTCAAGATGAGAATGACAGTGTCTCCTCTGACAACTTTGATGAAGATGTAAAACAAGAGAGACTGAAGCAACTGGAGACACTGAGACGTTTATGGATACCTGACATTGTAAAAGTGTTCTTTGTATTTATTTTCCCAGAACAAAATAGACCAGTTCTGCAATCTAGCGGATACTTGTGTTCACGACACCATCCCGGTTTGTGGGAGGATGGGAGACGAGAAGAGATCCTTCCTGGATCTATGTGACATGCTGGAGTTTGCGTGTGACACTAATCAAGGTAAAAATGAATTGTCATTATTTTTTATCACTTGGCTTCGTAGTCACTTCATCAACTCGTTGGTAGTCGTGTTATAATTACAATGAACTCTACATTTAAGAATGTTAGGAGTAGGTATGACTTAACTACACCGGACTACTATAGGTACAATTAATTTAACGACTTCATATCCTGAAAACTGACACAGCCAAATTATTTTAGTTAATTATTTAAGTTGTTTTGGACCTTAAGAGCGTTGTAGCAAAAAGTTGACGTTCGAATTTTAGGTTTTTATTGCTTGACGTCGCGTAGTGAGTGCGCAAACTGCATTTATCTGTACAATTTCAACGCTGCGTCGACTAAACGATCTTAATCCGTAGTTGTATCGTACCTAAGACAGAGTACATCATACATAATAATAAAGAAATAATATAATTATAATTTACCTATTTGATTTTTTCTCAGATTAGACTTTTAGAAAAATCAAGTTACGTAATTAATGTATTTTTTACACTAGTAAATCCCGCGACAAGTTTTTAATCTTTAAATTGAGTAAAGTAATAAGTTGATGGGTTTGAAAGAATTTATGTTTTATTTTATTCTTTTTACAGCATCAAAAGCTTGTTTATGAAAAATATTTACTATTTAAATTTTACTTTTGACTTTTTAGTTTTTATGATGCGGGATGGAAAAATTAAAATTTATTCTGATTTTGTGACGTTTCCGCACATAAATATGGATAGGTTAAATAAATAGAATGAAATGTATGAAAACGAGCGTGCCATTTTTTAAACGTTATCTATAATATACACACACACACAACCTGTTATTTCCTATATTGCGGCCATGTTGTTTTCTTAAATCGTGTATTTATATTGCGTGTAAGTGTGTGCGTAATGTATGTGTAAGCGGCAATTTGTAATAATTTAGGAATTCTATACAATCCCTAGTCAATGTTCAATAAATACTTTACCTAGGCTAGGCAGTGTATGTAATTCCTAGGCATTGTATAGAATACCAGCTGGCCCACCGGTAATGTGTAAAGTAAACAGATTTTGATCATTATTATTTATGTACGGTTAGGGTGTAGCAACGGGGGTGCAGGACTTAGCCGAATAACCGAAAAATTTTGACGGATTTAGTATGGAGTTTGGACTTTTTAGAGTAGTAAAGGGGGTACTGGTCATTTTAAAAAACTAACTGATGCAAGATTTTACAACTCCAGATGTCAAAGAAAATAAAAGCTTGTAGATAGCTTTACAAAGGAATGAAAGATTTATGAAGAAAATAAAAAGTACTGTCTACGATACATTTGTTAGGCCGTGTTGCACCGTCTTACTTTAACATTGACATCAAAATCTGTCTAACATAAAACACCGGTTATTGTCAGTTAGGGTCAAAGTTAGGAGGTGCATCTCAGCCTTAGTGTATTTTAATTAAATTTAATACAAATAAGGATGACAAAAATAATCGATAAATGATCTCACTCGAATATTTCTTATCTGGGGGCACGGCAGTGCCCCCACCAAGTCGAGTAAAAAAGCGGCACGGCCGTACCATCCTTTTCTCGAAGCAATTCAGGCCATATTCGACCGCTTGTAACTTCGTTGTGGATAGTAGGTATACAAGATGTCGAACAAATGGTTACTTACTGAAAAAGTGCTTCATGAGACCTAGCAAACGGCATCAATAATATGTTTAAGAACGAACTGAATCTATTCAAAAAACCTATATTTCCAGCTTTCATACATTCAATACAGTTACAAACAAACACGAAATCAATGGTTTCTAAGAATTCTGAGTGCCTTAATGCCGTCCCCTTTATCTGTTTATTTAGTATTTATTAATTAGTATCTCTTGATGATATTGTAGCAAGTTAAACCTAAAATCATGTTTTCCGTAAATAATTTAAATAAGAATGCAATTTACGAGTTTGTTGTTTGATTATTATATATTACTCAATTAAAAATTTAAATTTAAAAAATTAACACTTCTAATATGGTAGGTATGGCTGGCGGCATACATTTAGTATGAAATTCGGAAACATTGAATTTTCGCATAGATCCAGTTTATTCTTTGACCTATTTATTGTTATTGTTTTAAAGAGCTCATGAAGCACTTACAGGAACAGTAAACAGTTTCTCGATATCTTGTATAATTAAAAATCAAGTGAAATCACTTATCGTTTCCACCCTGTACCTATACTTTTAAAAATAAACTCATTTTATACGTTCATTTGTATAAGTATCTACAATACAAATACCTAACCAACTTAGTTGACGTTTTATAAAACTATTTGTCTAAGTGTCATCGAGCGACCGCTGGTGGATTTGCCATTTACCTGACCTACCCCTTTATTACTAAACGTTTAATATCAGATGAATAGTTACGCACCAATTTCTTTCATTCAGTCGTCAGTAATTGAACTTTCGGAAAAACATGACGAAGCGTTGTGTGACCATACAGACGCTATTCAACTTTTATTAGTAAGGAAGAGTATATTTTATGTTGGTAGAAACACAATAGCATAGACTAATGTTTTGACACCCTGTTAAAATTTTTATTAGTCATTTATTTTTTCCTGACCAAACAGATACCATAATAATATCTTTTATCTATTCTACCCATATTCTGTAAGTAAAATAATAAAAAGTTTGAAAAGAAAGAAATTACAAGTCCGATTTACCTAAACAAATAAATTAAAAATACTTGCGGATCAAAAGTACTCAATCATACTACAATTTACGAAAAAATCACGCGTGACGCATATACGTCAGTGGGCAGTCAACTGACATAGACCCGGCGTCTACGAGTGCCAAAGCACGACTGATTTATGCCATTTGATGCACCCGATTTTATAGTATTTTCAAATTAATTTTTCATTTGAAGATTGAAGATAGATATTTTTTCTTTTTCACACAATAATAGTACTATGTTTCTTCTTAAGTATAAAGTAGTTTATGTTGCCAAATGACTTTTAGATTATGAGATGTGACCTGTTTTCTTGCAGTAATTTTCTCGAATTTTGACTATCTTAGACATGATAAAAATGCATTTTAATGAATTAAACATCAAAATTTTCTCAATACACTTTCTTCTTCAGGGTATGCTTATTCTAATGAATACATTCTATCTTCTTACTTAGAAATAAATTTGTTGTAATATTAGTTCAAAGTTGTGCCTTCGCGAGTTACCTGGAAATCGGGCTTTCGAAATTCGCTGTTTTCGTAGGCAAAAATCCAATTTGAACGAGATTTTGTCAATAGACATTCCGTAAAAACGTATGATAATTACGATGATATAAGTCAAAAGAAGCTATAACAATAAATTATATGACTAAAATCATTTCTAAATCTGCCAAATTCTCGATTTCTGCATGAAAAATGTGACAACGCTCTTAAAAACAATTGCGCAAAATCAACAAAGTCGGCAAAGCGGCTTGTAAAATCTGCATTTTTGGTGAACAACGGGACGATTTAAATGGTGATTCAAGAATATCCAAAGAAGGTGTGAAATGGAAGCAAGTGGTCGCAAATGGGGGTGAATGCACCCAGAACCACTTTAGGGCGGAAACTTGAAGAGACGCCGAATAACATTACTTAGTTTATGATAGAGCTTGGACTTGGATGATTCTCAACGATGTTTTTGGGAAAACACGTTTTTCAGGACTGAAAATTTAAGAGTACCTACCTACAAGCAAGTAAGCAATCGACTGTACGTCAGAATATAAATTCTTGTCGCAGAATCACACTTCAGCTACTACTATTACACAGTATTCAGCTGAATGTGCCGTCGTTTTTACGTTTATTACCTGTAAATGCCTACTCAAACTATACATAGATAATAAGGCAATGTACTTACTCGTACATACACTATTGCCTAAGTACCTACATGAATAAAAATCCCTACACTATTTGGCTCTAAGAGACTGTAAACCGAAAATATATAAAATATAATGTAAAATTTACATAAAACGTTAACCTTTGTTGTTTCGAACAAGCTAATATTCTAGTGGGCGTAACTAATCTGTGCTCCCATTACAACGCTTCAGACACCGCAGTTAATCCATAGACAAAGGTCTCTAAGACTGGCCATAAACAATCTTTAACCTCTGCCATCGACAACAAATAGAATGTAGTCCAAATCAAAGGTTTGTTGTTGCAGACAAAGCGGCTTTCAGTTTCGAAATAGAGTATAGAGTAACAAGCACTTGTTAATACTAGTTCTATATTAAAACACGAGGTTGGCCGCTAGCCAGTTAGTTATAAGATTGATGTGACCACTAACACTAGGGAATTTACTCAGCAGCCATAAATGGGTCCATGTATTTTTATATTACTGTTTACATTACATTCACAATATGTAGGCATAGTAGGATATTAAAGTTCAGTAACACCTGATGACGATGATGATGATGAGTTAGAAAAGAAAAAAGGCGTGGCAAAACTAAGGTCACCAATTAACCATAATTTGGGTTGATTTCACATATTTTATACACGAATATTATAATAATACTAAGTATATAAATAAGCTGTTAAACTCAAATTATGTAACAATTTTAGCAATAAAGTTTATTTATTTATTTATTTATTATTATTATTTATTTATATCGTACTGTATGTACGTCGAAGAAATACTACTCAATAGTCTCACGCTAAAACTACACTGTACCTCTAGTACGAAAAACTTTCGAGTTCGTTTCGTTTGCGTATTCAAAGTGTCATCGAAAAATTTTGTATGAAAAATTAAACAGCGCCCCCTATATTATAGCCGCCCTATTTAATTTTTCATACAAAATTTTTCGATGACACTTTGAATACGCAACGAAACGAACTCGAAAGTTTTTCCTACTAGAGGTACTGGTCATCACAAAAATCGGCCCACCTACGTTTTACAGGAAAACTCGTTTCTACTGACACAATCATGGTGCCCCAACAATATTGGTGTTATTTGAAAGCCCAATAAATATCCTTAAAGAAAAACACATTTAATTTCCTAATAAACGATTAACATATACAATAAATGTGACTTGAAAAACTTGAAAAAAGACCTCACTTTGGGCTCACCTCTGGGATCAATTAGACCAATTTTTATGGTTATAAAACCAAATAATGACCTCACGTGTCCTCTTTAACAGATGGATAGCGATTAATCCCAACTTAACAGTTTTATAGCCATAAAAGTTGGCTCAAGCGTAACTACCTATTTTTTGAAGAAGTGACTCTGGATTCTTCTACAGACACATTTTTGGGGTAAAAACCTTTCCTTTAATGAAATGAAGTTTAGAACTATGCTTTTAAATGGTAATATAGTATAGTAATATTGGTGGGAAGTGGGGATGCATACGTTTGAAAGTGCTTGTCGCGGGTGGGTCGATTTTTATGATGACCAGTGTAACATGTATAGTAAAAAACACAAATGGCAATTTTTTAACTACAATTTTATTTAATCGGTACCGTAAAATATAAATATAAAGTATTCAAAAACAATATTAACATAATGATTTTTGTAATATCTTTTTTGAAAATTGTAATTTGTCATGCATGTGTTTAAATAAATAAACAAATTACATTACATAGTGTAACGCAAATGTTTCTTTAGTCAATAGTTTTGGTAGTTGCATTGTACGCCGGGGATTAGAGTACCAGGGGCAACAGACTGGTTCCAAAATGAAAGAAAATGAGTAGATTACGTACTCACGAGTGTATTTACACTGTTTTTAACATTTTTCCACTATCTAGTCGTTATTAGTGTGAAATGTGAGAATTCCAAGCCGCCGCGGTACGATTTATGTACATTTTCACCTACATTTAGTGAGACAATGTAACGCATGTGGGTGATGTTCTGTAGGGAAGGTTTTGTTTATGTAATTGCTTGTTAAAGATTCAAATAAATTATCTTTATGTGCGTAACTTTATTAACAACGAAGGTAACCGCCTACTGTTTTATTTGACTTTTACTGTTGTATCAAAATTACTGTGCAGTTTTGGTAAACTCACGAGTGCTTATATGGTTGTATTGTTCATCTTATATTATAAATTACTCCTGCCTAAAGTGTATTTACAGTACAGTTATTTTTACTTTAAAATAAAAACTTTTCATTTTGTATCACACACAATTTATACATTTCGTTTTCCGAAACATTTATGAATGAAAAAGTGGGTGTTTTTATTTTTATTTTAAGACTCTACCATAAATAAATGGGGTAGTAGTCAAATCTAGTATTTCCTACGTGTCTTTTGAGCCTTTAGAAGTCGGTGATTGTGCAACTTTGGCCTTCCTCCAATTTGGCTCGGGTCTTTGCCAATCGCTTGATTTGACAATAATTCTCCGGGGATTGCCGGGAATTCGTATTTTTCTTGTCAAGAATAAAATGTTTGACTAAAGAAATGGAAACGATTCCAAAAAACTTTAGTTTTTTGGCTTTATAAAAATGTCTGACATTCACAAAATTTTTGTCCACAATTTCGATGTTCCCGTTATTATTTCGTTACGTCATCGTGATAAATATGAGGATTTAAGCAAAATGAAATCTGTTTTATTCACCAGTGTTTCTATACAAACAAATGGCAATTGCTGAGAAGAAACGCCGGAACAAACTATTAGTAGGTAGGTACTAAAAGTAAACTCGCTTACTTATTGCAACTTAACCGACCTTTACAAGTGTAAATCGTCCTAAATAGTCACTAAACAGGCCATTGTCCATTCTAGAACCTTCAAACCAATTGAGGCGGCATCAAAACAAGCACGTAGCCTATCAACGGCGCATTGATCCACAACACGTTCTCATAGAAAGCCCCACACATGGCAGTTCTCAGGCTATTCTAATTTGGCCCATCCCTTCTAATGAACCACGTCTTACTAATTTGATGAGAAAACAATCGACTGATTACGAATTGAAAGTAAGAAGAGTCAAAATGTGCGTACCNTAATATTAGTTCAAAGTTGTGCCTTCGCGAGTTACCTGGAAATCGGGCTTTCGAAATTCGCTGTTTTCGTAGGCAAAAATCCAATTTGAACGAGATTTTGTCAATAGACATTCCGTAAAAACGTATGATAATTACGATGATATAAGTCAAAAGAAGCTATAACAATAAATTATATGACTAAAATCATTTCGAAATCTGCCAAATTCTCGATTTCTGCATGAAAAATGTGACAACGCTCTTAATGACTTATGATTTTAAATAGCGTATGATTTTAGGTTCTAACTAGCGAATCTAATTTTATCAACAGACTAATGTAGTTCAGCTTCGGAAAGTCATTCCAAAGTAATTTTGACACTCGAAAATGAATATTTTCTCAAATAATCCTTCATTTGCTAAAATCTATAAATATTTGGAGTATATTATCTCACGTTATCTACAATAATATCACAAAGTGTCGTTATTACATCAGTTGATAAGCGATACGATTCGACAGGCTTATCGCTGATTGGCGTACGGAGATTGTTTCCCCTTTTAGGCAATGATTTCGTCATTAAAATGATGGGTCAATAAACTGTCCTTATGATAAATGGATTTGCGTAACGCCTCTTTTATTTACAAACTATTTTTTTAAAGCTGACCTTTAATGACATGTCTATTTCATTAATTGGTCTATAATTTGAAAAGCGGTCAAAGTTCACAGTTTCAGTTTTCGTGAGTTTCAGATTTCTAACCTACATAAACAATTAGGTAATCACAGTTCGATCCGTCTTTTGGTATGTTCTGTACCAAAAATAGGTTCAGCTACCTATGGAAATATCGAAAGCTCTTACGTGTACGTCTATATTACGGCAAATAGACTAAGCAATTGCCTACTCCTATTCAATAAAGTTACATCTTGAGACTGAAGATATTGTATATTATTTTCCATACTGTATATTATGTCACCGTAAAATTGTAAATTTCGTTAACGTAGTTAGATTACAATGTAACCTAACCCGCGGCTAGTTTTCAATCTCACGCGTTATATTATAAACTGACGGACTTCACAATTTCACGTTGACATTATACATGCTATTAATTTGTCATCATACATGCAATTAATTCGTCATCATATACATATAGTCTCAAATCCAATCAATATTAGTGTCCAGATTAGTAATAAAAGAAGTAATGGAATGACAGCAATTTTGAACTACATAATAAAATCGTACGTTGACTAATCATAGCGTGTATATGGCTAACAACTTGACATGTCGCGTGATAATGTTTTTATTTTCAGTGTACACGCACATCGACGACACGGACGACTGCCCAGTACATAAAAGTAAACATTGAATTGAAACTACATCAGAAGATACCTACTAATTTGTGTACTTTAAAGGCACATGCTTATTTGGAAGGAATAAAAAAATATTTTTGTTCTTGTGTGTTTTAATTTTTATTTTAACCTACGATAGCCATTTTTAGAAAATTAATAACACATTATGTGTGTTAGTAGCTGAATTAATGACTATTTTGGCAAAAATACTATAAGAAGACAAATAGTCCTATACCCCTCCCCTTATTTATTTCTTTGAAGTATTTTGGTACGAATTGTACGTATACGTATGGGGAAAGTTAAGCACATAAAATATAATACCGTTCATTTAATAATACATGCTTACTTAGGCATGTTAAATCCCCACATAGTTTTTGCTAAGATCCAAAAAAAATTAAATTACATGTAAACTTAAATTGGTATACCGAATAAATAAAACTACCTTTAATCACCTTATGCTATAAAAAATCTGTATCCACATATTGTACAGTGTTAAAGAATTTTAAACATCATGTCGAAAGCATTTTACTCGCACACATCTCGTTCAAACTATGCAATACTAAAAGAGATTAATCATAAAAACAACGTACCTTCAGGACTGCATACTGCTTTTTGCGTAAAAAGAATCTTTACTTAAATATGTGTTTAAGTATCATTAAGGTAATGTGCTCTGGCCTGACCCGAGATCGTGGGAAGAGGATGGGGATATACGGGTCTTGGTGGGATAGAGCGGGACGGCACGCTTGAAGGTTGACCAGGTAACAGGTTGGGGTAGACAGAATAAGCGCCATATCTCACTAAGATGCTGGTTGTAACGGTTACTGGCAAATACTCTTACATTTTTTTGGAAAAAATCTTATTATTTTCTTATTTAAGGCTTCAAAAGTTTCAGCAAAAATAAACTTTTGACCTAAGCTTAAATAAAAATAGGTTTAATTGTAACTCTATCATCTTTTTATTTACTTTTAGGCAGTTTCAACTAGGTTCCTAATAAAACGATGTGATAAATCACTAGGAAAAAGATGAGATACCACCGTATCACTATCTTCCTAGGGAGCGATACGAATCGTCATTTTCAAATATTATAGACAGACACTGATGCCCTAAAACTTGACGCTCGATAAAATGATAAAATGACGCTCAAAAGTCGACTCAAAGTCATAAATAGATTCAGCCTGTAGTTTTTTAAATTCGGATGTTTGTACCAACCATAGCTTTGAACCCTTTCTCTGAATTATTTTAATTCCTTTTGAAAATAGAGCTCATTATTGTTTTCGACGCACCATGTCGCCACACCGTCCTAGTGTGGCGTGACCCTAAATAGTGAGTGCGGTAACGTACATCGCAAGCGCGTCTTTTAGGGATAGCGAAAAATAAACTCGGTTTAAATTGGGCTTAAAATGGAATTGACTTTCTTTTGTTTTGCTTTCAAAACTCCGGCTGGAAATCAAAAAGGAAATGCGAGTTGGTTCGAATTCAAATAGGCGATTGGATTTTGTTTTATTTACAGTGCTATCTAATACGCACTACGCTAATAGGCAATGAATTTAATAGCTTTTTCAATGGATTAAATGTAAAGAGCATTATGTTATTTCCAAATACACGAGAAAAAATGTAAATGAAAGTTATTTCAGGATAAGCGCTTTCCTCTTTACTAATGTTGTTTAATTCTGTTGTGTTAAATCACCATAAAATCACTTTTAGTAATTTAAACAGTTTTTGTTTTTAAGTTTAACTTTCTTCTGACTGTCCTACTTCCGATACCTATACGGTTTGAAACGGTGGAGGTAGCTTTTACAAAATTCCCTATCTACCTACTTGTCGATACTAGTACATACAAGAATCAATTAACTCAAAACAAAAACTCCAGTACTCGCAACCCGGTTTTACTCGATCCCGTAAACCGCATTCTAGTGCCATACGGCTCAATTTCGAATTCCTTAACCCTTCAATGCCAGTCCGTGAGAAACGTACAATTTGAACAGGCCATAATTAGGGCCCCATTAAATCACGGGCACTGGCCATCCAGCGCAGCGATTTCGTTGATTAGCCCGCTCGGGTCAACCCTGAGCAGGTGGATGGAGGGGTCAAGGACTTGGTATGGGCCTTTTTGCATAAATCTCTAAGTTAGATAAGGGTTATGTAAGTTAATATGAGTATCTTCGGGATTTAAATTGGTTAGTATAAGTTACACCGACGTTGAAACTTGTTACGACGTTCTTAAAATTTTAGGTTTGAAGTAAGTGCTGGTAGTTTTACAATTTAGTCGTATAGGATGGAGTCGACTAATAGAAGAGTATTCATAATGCTAAAAAATAATAAAATTATAAAAAGAAGTTTATTGTCTAATGCTGTAACTCTATAACTCTGTAATGGTAAATTAAGCACATTACATTCGACGAGAAAGTCTCCAAATCACAATAATGATTATAAAAAAGTACATATTTTTTTCTACAAAACTATTAAGGTATAATTTTTAATATAAGTCTCCTCAGTCACCACCATCGTTGTCAGTATCATCAAGACACTGACCTCGAACTTGATAATAAAAACCGCTAATTGATTTGTCAGGTCAATCAATTAGATGCCAACCAAGAGCAAGAGGTAAGTAACAATTTGGTCGGAGTTTAGTTAGTGTTTGCGGAGCTAAAGCAGGTAAAGTCGATCGCGCCATCTGCCGGACACGCCCGCGACCCAAGCAGGGCTGCCAACAGGTTAAAAAGAAAATCAATTTAATATTTTTGATCTTGTGCACTTAAACTATGATGCGAGGTGCAGACCAAGAGCTAAGTTAAATTAGCTTAGCTCGCATTTTAGAGTATGCAGTTTTGTACATAAATAAACAACTTGGGCTAATTTTAGGATCATGTTAAATACTGGCCAAAAGTAAAGTCTAAGGCTGAGTTGTACGACCTTACTTTAACTTTGACAAACTTCAAAAATCTGTCAAACAAAACAAAAAGCTCTGGTTATTGTTATTTTACGGTTAAAATAAGGTACTTATTGACAAATCTTGTCGGGAAATAAGTACAGTAAAACGATTTTAAGAGGCACGTAAGTCTCGAATCAAAAGACCAAAAATGAAGTTTTTTGCCATCTAAACACTTTATACGTATCAATATATCGTTTGATTTTAAACTCCTTGTTTATGCTGTCTTAAAACTCAAAAATAAAACCACAATTAGTAAAAATTGCTAAACATATCTCCTGGAAAGCATCATCTAAGTAGATATCTTATAACAAATCTAACCTAATAGTTGGCCCAATCTTTTCTTCGGACTATATGCTAATAGTAGATTATTTCAAAGGTTAGACTGCTTAATAACTGACCGAGTTTCACTCAAATCGTCAGCAATTTAACAAATTATAGATACAATTCAAAACCGTATAGAACGGGACCGACGACCTTCGGTTTTAAATTAGAATGACTCATTCGAACCTTTAAGTATTCCACGAAACAAAAATTTCCACAATCAGTTTTATAATAGCTTGTAATCTGAAATGATCTGGCTATAATCTTTCAATTTTGTTACAACAAAGAAAATTGCACGTTTAGTAAGGGTTTTCACAGCCCTATCTTTAAAAACGCATTCTAAGTGAGCCTGCTTTACTTAGCTTGCAACTAACGGCTCGAAATGAGATTAAGTATTATAAAAATGGGAAAAAGAAAGGAAAAGGTTCGGATATAATAAAAGTTGGTAAAGTAGACTCACTCCTAATTATTTTTTACATAAAATAGACAGTCGAGTTCTTACTAAAATTGTAATTTACTGTCCTAGTATTTAAGCGTTATTCAAGCAAAAATTAAATATCAACATTACTCATCCTATCGAACAGCGAAGCAACAACCGTTTCAAACCCTAAACTTAACTAATACTGTATTGGAAATTACTTAGATTTTGAGAATTTTGGAAGCTATTTTATAGAGCCCATCAATACCTTTTTAGACGTTTTACGCTTTTAAACGTATCAGGCACGTATTTGACATAAAACTCTACAAAAACGTTTAACGCTACGAAATCTACTTCGTTAAACACACTCAAAAAAGATTCAAGTATAGATTGGTTAACTTATTGAAATAACATCTAGGTATGAGTGTCATTTCAAAATAGGGGCTTGCTTTAGAGAGAGACTACTAACTCCACCTCCTTTATAATTCGGAGGAGTTACTAAAAAATAAATATTGCGGCCGACCTCAGCCGAGCGAAGAATCAGGAACAATCTTAACACTTTACTAAGAGTTTTCGTTATGCGTGTTTTAATAACGAAATTATAGCCTTCGCCTCGGGTTTGTGGGTAAATAAATTAAAGTGAATGATTTTGTGGAAAAAGTGATTTACTGGGGCTATTTATTTATGTATACTCTGGACTTGGTTGGATGGGAGAGACTTTTACCGAGTTGGTTCAGATTTAAATTTTGATGTGCTGATGCCATTTTATCTTTGAAGTTCAAATAAGAGGCGTGAAGAAACGCTAGTATCTATACTATAGATAGATATACTTACATTGGTATTACCATAGATAATACCTAGGTATATTAAAAATATTCCAGGTCATGGTTAGTAGTTCGGACTAATTCCGACTAAGTTCGATTTCATTAGAAGATTGAATCAAACTAAGGTCTGAAAAAATAAACAATGCTTCGAAGGGACATTAAGATACCATGAGTCCAATTGAGCAAATAATAGTACTAAAGGTACTCTTAAACGATTCAAAGCTCACACGAGACTTTTTTGAGACTTGATATTTCCAAAATCGTGTTCTAGTTTGATCCTAATTCACATTCTATATTTTTCAGGATATTTTTAGTCAATTATCACGTTTTGATTGCAATTTGCAATACATGAGGAAAATTGACAATGGCCATTAAAAACATGTTATTGTATGCATTACTCGTTTGGAAGTATTGACGTAGGTATTAGCTCCGATTATTTTACATTCATAGTATTTTATACATAGTCTACAGCACATAGTAAGTTTTTCTCCCTGTCTATAGTAGCAGATTTATTAGTATGGAGAAGAGAACTTTTTTTGAGATTC